TTTAAAGAAACCTTTGCAGCCTTCACAGCTGTAAACGCCATAGTGTTTGCCTGAGGATGAAACAGGTTGAGTGAAACTTAAGCACAAACAAAACGAGGGAAGGAAGACAAAAACTTCATGAACACATTGGATTACTTTATTTAACGATTAAACAGACAATCAGCGGTCCACTCACCAGAAGAGCGGTCGCCACAGATCACGCACAGTCGTTTCTGAGACATCATTATCCCTGGGCTGTGAGCTTGCATGGGCCTCAGACCAAATGGAGGCTTAATATCCTCTGAACTGCTGACTGAATGCATCCCTGTTCTCGGTGCTGAAGATGAAATCTAGACATACAACAATTCTATTAGTTAAGACCAGAACTAGACAACTGTTCAACAATAAACTGTGATTATATTTTAATTACTAAACTGTTTAAAGAAAGACCGTAACCAAAAGTGCATCATTTCTGAACAGGGTAAAGAAACACTTGTACTCTTCAAAGGATGCCACCCACTGACATTCAATATTTTAGCAGTTGAGATGTCTTAGTTTCTCACATTTTTGAGCACCTAACAGAGCCATTTATGGGTTATTATGCCAAACATGAGTCAATGTGACCCCCATTTTAGAGGCGTTTATACAAATCTTAATAAAATGTTTCATACCCACTATTAAAAGTGATTAGTTTCAACCAGTTTTCACAAAATACCCTAGGTTTAGAGGAAGATTTTTATACCACATAAATACTACCTACTGAATACTGGGAGTTGCATCTAGTTACTATGATATGACATAGATCATAATTGGTTACATTTTCTTAGACTTGTCTGAACCAGACATGGATCAGAAAAGCAATCATTAGCTGTGATACAAGAGCACAATTTCCCAGATCTTATCTAAATCTTGGTTGATAACAATTTCAAAAGCCCTGTTTACATGGACACTAAATAAAATGATTTGATCACAACAGGTGTATACAGGCAACGAGTGTTTGATCATATTTAATAATTTAAGCATGCGCAGAACTGCAGAAAAATGTCACACTGGTTTAGCAAACATGCAAAGTGTAGATTATTTGCTCCAAAGATCCAAATGGGTGTGTATATGGACAACAATCAGAATGGTGATCTGCAAAAACCACTTCTTTCTTTGAGGAATGAAATTTCTTTCCATCATATTTACAAAAAACATTTTTTTTAAATTGGATCAGGCTTTCAATCCGATTGTGTCCATGTTAACGTAGCTAGTGAAAACAGTTGTCCTTTCACATTGGTACATAATAAGATGTAAAAATCATACAATATTGCTAATGACAAACTATTTCCATAATTAACCAAAATATTTAACTACCAGGAGAAAGAGAGCTACGTAATCAAGCACTCCAGTATGACACAGTTTGTTGGTGAAAAATGGAAGTAGGTTTGTATAAAAGGACAATACAAGAAAAGAGCAGAACTGATTAAAGGTGCTCTTAAACAATTGTGAGAATTATTTTACAATCAGTTTAAGATCCAAACACATGAATACAACTATGTTTACAGCTACTTAGCAAATACCTGACTGCTGCTGATGGGTCCGAATCCCAAAGAGGGAGATACAACTGGAGAGTTGATTGAGGGACTTATCACTGGAAAAGGAGAACCTAGAAAGCTGGTGGGGCTGTTGGAGGCTGAGCTGTTGGGTTGCTGTGTGGACATGGCTCATAAGCAACCCGCTGAAGAGAATGATGTCCCGTCTTCAGGATGTCAATCTAAAGTTGACACAAGAGGATGTTATTAGCAGTGGAAAAATGAACTTGTACTGCTTCTTTCAACAAACGGTGCCTTAATGAGAAACTGCAGTATAAATGGGTGATACTATCAGTAACCATATTGGGAGGTTTTTCTTTAAATTGTTTGATTATTGTTCACAACTATCCAATCTAAAATAGCGTTTTATAAGGTATTATGTGTTGAATTTTTAGGAATCTCCTAAATGAACAATTTAAATCATGATTACCGGTAGATTAAATAATCTACAGTTTTTTTTTATTTGTATCCATAACCAGTAAAGCTGAAGATTTAATTTGACAATCCCTTTTACAGTTTTCCAAAACATTTTGAGTTTTGTTCAGGTTTCAAGTACCTACATGCTAAAAGCTGACTATATGTTATCATGTGCTTACCTAGCATACTCAGGGCTCAGGTAACATCAATATTTGCACATTATTTTAGCTATATGTACAAATTTTGCAACAACGTTTAGGTTTCTAGGCTGTAAAACAGCATATGTCAGAAACAAAAGTGAACTTTGGATAATACTGTACAAAATCTTTTGGAAAATATTTAAGACAATTTCACTGGGATTTTAAGAAAGTTTTCGTTTAACATAGGAGACATTAATCAACCAAGGAATGGGGCATTTAATAGGTAAGACCTATTTGTTTTTACACACAGCTAATTCTGACGCCAAAATATTCCTGTGATAAACAAATAAAACAGAAATATCGCGCGTCCGCAACTCCAACCATTACAGCTGAAATCGAAACATGCACATTTGCATATGGATTGTGTTCTAATAGCCTGAAAAACAAACAATTTTGGATATTTTTTAAACAATACATTTAACTAATGTAGTGATATTTCGCTTGGTTTTGATTTACATTTCACATTTACTAAACACAGCTGGCCAAATGCTATAACATTAACGCTGCCAGTTTACATGCGTCACATTACTAAAAATAAACCCTCAAAAAAACAGCATATACATGTTTTCTTGAATCTTATTATACACTAATAAATGTATTATCTTTGTTTAACGTATTGGTGGGTTTTTGACTGCGAAGCTCTAACTGCTAGCAAACCTCGCAACACCTCTTGCTAGCGTTAGCTGCGCTTACGCATGTCTGAGTGTTTCCCCTTCAATATTTTTAGGTTATGTGCGTCAAAACTAAAATAAACAATCAAAATCGAAAGAAGATTTCACATACCCACCGAAACATGAAGCCAAACATACCTAGCTAGAGTATTTATTTTAAGACAGAAAAGGCTAACAAGTTAGCAAGCTAACCGGCTAACGCAGCTCGAAGCATTAGCCAAGAAGCTCAGACGGCTCCAGGAAAGTGTTGCTGGCAATTTTAGCTTATAGTTATCTTACGTTTGGAGTCACGTACCATAAACACTTTCGAAGCATTGTTGAAAATTCACTCCACGCTATCTCTTTTCATCTAAACAAGTGCAAGACAACACGCCGACAATCAGATTCGGTTAACTTTACTTTGACGCTGTTGTTGTTTACAGGCCATGTTGGCTCTAAGCCATCAGCTACCAGAGCCAAAATGTCTCGTGGGACCACCCATAACTGTGCTGTCATCTGACACCGACGATGATCATTTAAATCTTTGTCCATGTTTCGATATTTAGTATGTATGGAAGAGGATCCGGGCCACTGAAAAAATAAAAAAATAAAGTTAACTGATTTTTAAATTTTATTTCAGTTTAATAAGGGGAAAAAAGTCAGATTTCGGAGATTAAAATCAGAATTATGGGGAAAAGGCTAGAATTCTGAAATTAAAGTCAGAATTTTGCGAATAATGTCAGAATTCTGACTTTTTTCTCACATAAAACCATCCTTTGGAAGAGGATTAGGGCTACTGAAAAAATTTAAAAAAGTTAATAAATTTTTAAATTTTATTTCAGTTTAATATGGAAAAAAAAGCCAGAATTCAGAGATTAAAGTCAGAATTCTGGAGAAAAAAAGGCACAATTCTGAGATTAAAGTCAGATTTCTGCGAAAGAAGTCGGAATTCTGACTTTTTTCCCATATCCAACCGTACTTCGGAAGAGGATTAGGGCCATTGAAAAAATAAAAAAAAGTTATCTGATTTTTACATTTTATTTCAGTTTAATATGGGAAAAAAAGTCAGAATTCTGAGAAATTCTGACTTTTTTCACAGAAATCTGACTTTAATTTCAGAATTCTGACTTTAATTTCTGAATTCTGACTTTTTTTCCCATATTAAACTGAAATAAAATGTAAAAATTAGTAAAAAAAATTTTTCAATCCTCTTCCGAAGTACGGTTTGATATGGAAAAAAAGTCAGAATTCTGACTTTATTCGCAGAATTCTGGCTTAAATCTCAGAATTCTTGCCCTTTTCCCAGAATTCTGACTTTAATCTCTGAATCTCTGAAGTCAGAATTTAGAGATTAAAGTCAGAATTCTTCTTTCCAATGTGCTGTACATTACAAATAATAAACAATAACACAACAATACATAAACACAATACAACAATAAATAAACTGACTTCTGACTTTTTTTTCTCAGAATTCTGACTTTTTCTATATTAAACTGAAATAAAATGAAAAAATCAGTTAACTTTTTTTTTCAGTGGCCCTAATCCTCTTCCCTAAGTATGTATTAAATAATGATATATACATATTTTTTACAGTACTGAGGGTCTATTTTTAGTAACAGTATCAAATAAAATATAGAAAATTCTAAATCACAGGAAACCAAGATTAAATTTTCATTATCTGATTATAGAAAGTATTTTACTTTTGTGGTTATGGCTTGCTGTAAGTTTAAATAGAAGCATTTGCTGTTTTTTCTAAATGCGTATGTGGATTACTGTTTAGTCTATAGTCAATCTGAGAAATGCTTGAATGTTTTTTTTTCCACATGTACAACTTGTTCTTATGAGGCATTTTAAAATTTCCACTACCACTGTAGCTTTTTCAGCTCTAAATTTTATACAGTGGCCTTTGGTGTTAAAAACATTAAGTTGTTTAAGCTTTGTGGAAGACTGAGAGTAGCTTTTAATTCCTGAAAAAGAAATGACACAGCAAAATAAAAGTTTTCTTTTATGCTGGTCTCTTATGTTCATTTTTGATTGATGATAAGCAGCCTGCACACCTAATACCAGATGTAGGTGTTGGTTCAGCTTAACAAACCACATACCACTGTATGTCTGAGAGAATGAAGAACTTGACAAACAGCTTTGCCTCAAGTAATTATTAGGAAAGTGTCTCCTTACAGGAGACACTCAGTATTGCCATTTCGCTGCTTAAAGCTGCTGGGACCTTTTGAACAGGAGCAGTGACTTTTTTTAATATTCGAAATGTTATATATATGTAACATTTTTAAAGTTAGTATTTATTATAAAAGAAATGTGGCTGATAACTAGAAGAACTTCACCTCTGTTTCTAATTCTTACCTCAGGTTGGTACTAAACATGCTGCTTTCTGTGTCTTGTTGTCTCTGGTAGACAATGCAATGATATATAGGTTTAAAATTTTGAAGTTATAGTAACCTGATTGAAAGCTTTTGAACTAAAAGGTGTTTTTATTTGTTGCTCATCTTAAAAATCTGTGTTTAAAATTTCACAGTGATTTTCACATCCCCGCTCCAACTGTCAGACTTGCAGCTCACTCCTAAGATGACGTATGAAGAGGCAAAGAGCTACTGCAGACCAATAAATAGTTATCTAGCTGAAGTTTACAAATTAGCAGAAAATGTTATTACAGATTTAGCTTCATGGCGAGCTGCTGAGAGAATTTGGATTGGACTGGAGTTGGGAGAACTCTGGATTTGGCACTGGACTGGACCTGATCAGGGAACATCTTTTGTAAACTGGAGGACTGGAGAGCCACAAGATAAACAAGAAGTGTGTGCAGCAATGGATCAAAATGGAACATGGTTTGCAAATGACTGTGGAATTCAAAAGGGCTTTGTTTGCCAAGGTAGGTGAAATACTTCTAAATACTTATGTCAATCAACTGGAATGTGAGTAAATTTGGCAAATTCAGTTAAATTCAACTTGTATATCTATTAAACTCTAATTCATAGAGTGATGTGTTTCAACAATCTATTTCTTAACTTTGATGTTCACAATGTACAGCTAGGGAAAATTCATGCTTCAAAAAATTTTGACGTAAACCAGATAAAAATACATATCAGCCTGGGGCAGCCAGTGACATTGAAGGAGCGAAGGTTTTCTCACAGCAGCCCAGCTGCATTCTTGGGTCTGGTTCATCTCATATTCCTCATAACAATTTCAAATTGATTCTCTTTAGTGTACAGGTCTGGTGAGCTCTAGACGATCACAGGAAGTTTTTGCATGATGGGATGATACCAAGTTCTGGTGAAAAGTCAAATTTCTCTTTCTAAAAAGCCTTTCCATTACAGGGAAACATAACGTGCTCCAAGTTTCCTGATTGATGGCTGAGCTTGGACTTGATAAAACACAATGGAAACCAGTAGAGGACATTCCTTCACCAACTGTGGAAACTTCTCATTAGCCACATTTCCATAACAAATGTGTGCAAAACAATGTCGATATTCTGCTAATTTCAAAGATGCAAAGTTTTACAATTGCAGTATTACCTTTAAATAACAATGCAATACAAAATGGACATTCATCCATTTGTTCATGCGAGAATTCTTAAAACAAATATTTTAGCGGCGGTCGTAAACAGAGAGATATATCCATATTTCAGGCTCTATTGAGCCTCCCACTAATTCCATTTTTAAAGTGCGGCAGTGATAAAATATGATAAAATGTAAAATGTATAATGCACGAGAACATAACAATGTTTAACTCCTCCATGTTTAATAGTAGGGACAATTAGTAGTCATGGTGTATCTTGGCAAAAGGTTAATGTTTTTTCACATTTTTCTACATGACATTCTCCCCAGCCACTTTGTGGCTTGTCAATATGCAGTTTGACAAATTTCAATCTGGCTTTTTTAGGATTTTTTTTTCAACAACGGTGTCCTCTTTGATCTTCTCCCATTAAGTTCATGTGGCTAAATCAAAGACAGATGGTGTGATCTGAAACAGATTTTCCTTGACATTTAATTTCTAAACCTTCTTTAGAAATTTTTCTGGGCTCTTTTGCAACCAGTCATATTTATTCTGTCATCAATTTTCCTGCTGCCACGTCCAGGGAGGCTCGCTGCAGTCCCATGGTTCCTAAGTTTCTGAATAATATGAGCAAATGTAGCATCAGGGACATAAAGCTGCTTGAAAATGGTCTTTTAGCCTTGACCTCTAACATGTTGAGCGGGTAAACACCATGTCACCAAACAGTCACGGACTGACTTATTATAAGTTTGTACCTTTGATACTCATAAGTGGACATGCCTTTATTTTTATGTCCCTTTGGTCAAATTATTTTCAGTCTTTTCAAGGGGTACCGACATTTTTGTCATTCTGTTGAAACATAGGCTAGTTGAAAAGCAAAGTCTGGCTTTCATTTGTTCATAGAATTTTTATTTATTACTTTTATCGGATTCAAGTCAGATTATTTCTGTAACTGTTGATAGTCTTTCTTTCATTTAATGAGGCGTACCAACAATTTTGTTCAATTGTGTATTCCTTGATAAACTGACTGACATTAGTGACTTTTAGGTGAACTTTCTCACATAAAAAACATCTTCAATTGACTATTTGTGTGAAATAATTAATGGATAATGACTAACTAAAGACCTGGGTCGCTTCTTCTTTTATTCATTTAGTTTTTAAATGCAGATGAGATTTTTTTTTAAATGCACTACTGCCACATCATGGATTCTATTTCAAGATCGCCTTTCTGTAAAGTCTTTTGATGAGGCCACTTTTATGTAAAAACCAAAAACCCAAATCTAAGCTAAAAATCTTCTTTGATTTACATACCTATTACACCAAACAAAAGCATGTGCAATCTACATATTCCAGTGAGGCGTTTTCCCATCATAGAAAAAGTGACACATACTGCAGTGGAGACAAAAACCTGATTGTATTCTACTCATAACTATATCTTCCCTACAAGTCATTCCTCTGTTTCTTGTAACCTCATATAGTTTGTATTCTATAAATGTCTTGCTTTTACCTGTTTATCACTCCCAATTTTCCATACCTTTTACTCATTTTTCAAACTATACTTTTCCCTTCAAATTTAGATAGCGGAATCTCTAAATCAGTATCAACTTTAATAGCTTTCTTAGCGAAACTACCTGCTCTTTTGTTTTCAGAAATACCTACAAAGGCAAGTTCCCACACTATTAACCTATTTTTGTTTTCTTCTTATAATCCATAATGAACAAATAGACTTTAGAAATTATTCTAATTTCCTCTTTGCCTTCTAATTCACCTATATAATGCATGGTTATTCTGCACATACTGAAGAAGTTTGATGTTCTTTTTGATATATAATTCAAGAATCACTACTGCTACAGTAGTTTCTGAAGTTTCAGGATTCTTCAATCCATCTGTATAAATTTGCAAATGATCCCTATACTTTTCCACAACTTGATTTTAAAACTCTTAACATATTTGTAGTATTCCTTTTGTTGAAAACTGTCACTGATCTATCCACACTAATGTGATTCCATGTTCCTGTTGGTCATAAATATCAAAGAACTACTGGACTAAAATATTCTTATAAACTTTGAATGTTTTGCTCTATTTTCTCCCACCATTGTCTAACAGCATGTTACCGGAATTGCTTTAATTATGCCTTTTCAAATACATCCGATAATTGGCCATCAGCTGTTATCATCTAATACGCATTGACATTTCTCCTGACTCTATTTACAACCCACATTCTAGAGTTGTTTCAACTTCTTATAATCATGTATTATACAATAATATCTAGTTTTTAGACAAGTTTTGGCCACAGATCCATAATCTATAATTGAACAAATTAGAGACACATAAATAGTTTTTAAAGCATCACAACTTGCACCCCACAACAACTTTGGAGGACACCTCATCGTATTAATTGCTCTTATACTTTTCTTCACAATATTCTTTATAATAAAAAATATATACACAGACACACACACACACACACACACACATATATATATATATATATATATATATGTTTATGTTTATTTGCTGATTCCAAGTTACTTCCTTTTAAGGCATAACAGACCCCCCATTAACCAATCTGAAAACTGGTCCGCCTAGTTCTTCTCAAGCAATTGCAGTAGCTCATAATTCTACTATGGTAACCACTGCACAACTGACTACTAAATCTTCTTCTGCGGCACCAATAACTACAACTGCATCGACTACATTCAACACAAGTAAAATTGCTTCACTTCCCGTCACCACTCAGCTGATTAACACCACCAGAGAAACACCAACAGGGACACAATTACAGCCATCCGAAGAGGTAACCACCCCAGCACCATCAACTTCGCAGAGGCTGAATACGTCTACTACCAAAGAAGTAGTTTTAAAACCCATAACCAGTGATCTTAACAACACAAGTACAGAAATGCTGAAAGTCAACATAACGACACAGCAGAAAATGAGTACCACTCCATCACCAGGAACCAGCGCTGGACAAATGACAGAGCCTACAGAGGTCTCACCCTTCATCAGCACTAATTTTGGCAGTACAAGAAGAGACATGCCAACAACAGCAACACCACAAAATAGTACCCAGCTAGAACCAACTACTGTCACAGGACAGACTATACCTAAGAACACAAACAATTCACTTACCATTACCTCCAAACTCAGCAGAAATTTGACAGAAATTACACTAGTACCAACCTCTCAAAATGTCACTAGCCTACAACCACTTATCGTCACAGGACAGACTACACTCAACACCACAGAGGTTGTTTCACATTCAGAAATAACTGAGCTAAACAGAACAACGACAGAAATACCAACAGTGAAACCAACAAAAACACCCTCAAACATTACCGAAGCAGCTTTCACCAAAATGACAACATCTAACCATACTGAAGTTACAACACATACCATCAGCAACAAGGCCAACAAAACAATTACCATACTGCCAGCTAAGACAACAACAGCACCTCTCCAAAATGTTACCAACCTAACAACAATAACTGCCCCTGGACTGACCAAAACAAACACCACTCAGATCGTTACACATTCTGTTAGCACTGAGCTAAAAAGTACAGGGACAGAAACGCCAACACTGACACCAATGCAGCCATCCTTAAATGTTACAACATCAGCAACATCAAATGTCACTGGAATTACTACATCTAATCATACTGGGATTGTTTCACCTCCCACCAGTATTGACGCCAACAGAACAGAAATATTGCCAACAAAGATGGCAACAGTACCACTCAATGTCACCAACCTAACAACAACAACTGCCACTGGAGTGACTACATCAAGCACCACTCAGATTGTCACACATTCTGTCAGCACTGAGCTAAAAAGTACAAAGACAGAAATGTCAACACTGACAGCAACGCAGCCATCCTTAAATGTTACAACATCGGCAACATCAAATGTCACTGGAATTACTATGGGTAATCATAGTGGGATTGTTTCACCTCCCACCAGTATTAATGCCAACAGAACAGAAATATTGGCAACAAATACACCAACAGCACCACTCAACAATGTGACCAACCTAACAACAAAAACTGCCACTGGACTTACTACATCAAACACCACTCAGATTGTCATACAGTCTGTCAGCACTGAGCTAAAAAGTACAAAGACAGAAATGTCAACACTGACACCAAAACAGCCATCCTTAAATGTTACAGAATCGGCAACATCAAATGTCACTGGAATTATTACATCTAATGACACTGGGATTGTTTCACCTCCCACCAGTATTAACGCCAACACAACAGAAATATTGCCAACAAAGATAGCAACAGTACCACTCAATGTCACCAACCTAACAACAACAACTGCCACTGGAGTGACTACATCAAGCACCACTCAGATTGTTACACATTCTGTCAGCACTGAGTTAAAAAGTACAACAACAGAAATGTCAACACTGACAGCAACGCAGCCATCCTTAAATGTTACAACATCGGCAACATCAAATGTCACTGGAATTACTATGTCTAATCATACTGGGATTGTTTCACCTCCCACCAGTATTAATGCCAACAGAACAGAAATATTGGCAACAAATACACCAACAGCACCACTCAACAATGTGACCAACCTAACAACAAAAACTGCCACTGGACTTACTACATCAAACACCACTCAGATTGTCACACAGTCTGTCAGCACAGAGTTAAAAAGTACAAGGACAGAGATGTCAACACTGACAGCAACACAGCCATCCTTAAATGTTACAACATCGGCAACATCAAATGTCACTGGAATTATTACATCGAATCACACTGGGATTGTTTCACCTCCCACCAGTATTGAGGCCAACAGAACAGAAATATTGCCAACACAAAGACCAACAGCACCACTCAATAATGTCACCAACCTGACAACAACAATGGCCACTGGACTGACTACATCAAACACCACTCTGATTGTCACACAGTCTGTCAGCACTGAGCTAAAAAGTACAAGGACAGAAATGTCAACACTGACAGCAACGCCGCCATCCTTAAATGTTACAACATCGGCAACATCAAATGTCACTGGAATTATAACATCTAATCACACTGGGATTGCTTCACCTCCCACCAGTATTGATGCCAACAGAACAGAAATATTGGCAACAAAGACGGCAACAGTACCATTCAATAATGTCACCAACCTAACAACAACAACTGCCACTGGAGTGACTACATCAAACACCACTCAGAATGTCACACATTCTGTTAGCACTGAGCTAAAAAGTACAGGGACAGAAATGTTAAAACTGACACCAACACAGCCACCCTCAAATGTTACAACATCAGCAACATCAAATGTCACTGGAATTACTACATTTAATCACTCTGGGATTGTTTCACCTCTCACCAGTATTAACGCCAACAGAACAAAAATTTTGCCAACAACGACACCAACAGTACCACTCAATAATGTGACTAACCTAACAACAACAACTGCCACTGGACTTACTACACCAAACACCACTCAGATTGTCACACAGTCTGTCAGCACTGAGCTAAAAAGTCCAAGGACAGATATGTCAACACTGACAGCAACACAGCCCTCCTTAAATGTTACAACATCGGCAATATCAAATGTCACTGGAATTATTACATCTAATCACACTGGGATTGTTTCACCTCCCACCAGTATTGAGGCCAACACAACAGAAATATTGCCAACAAAGATGGCAACAGTACCACTCAATGTCACCAACCTAACAACAACAACTGCCACTGGAGTGACTACATCAAACACCACTCAGATTGTCACACATTCTGTCAGCACTGAGCTTAATAGTACAAGGACAGAAATGTCAACACTGACAGCAACACAGCCACCCTTAAATGTTACAACATCGGCAACATCAAATGTCACTGGAATTATTACATCTAATCGCACTGGGATTGTTTCACCTCCTACCAGTATTGAGGTGAACAGAACAGAAATATTGCCAACACAAACACCAACAGCACCACTCAATAATGCCACCAACCTAACAACAACAATGGCCACTGGACTGACTACATCAAACACCACTCAGATTGTTAAACATTCTGTCAGCACTGAGCTAAAAAGTACAAGGACAGAGATGTCAACACCGACACCTACACAGCCACCCTTAAATGTTACAACATCAGCAACATCAAATGTCCCAGGAATTACTACATTTAATCACACTGGGATTGTTTCACCTCCTACCAGTATTGATGCCAACAGAACAGGAATAATGGCAACAAAGACAACAACAGCACCACTCAATAATGTCACCAACCAAACAACAACAACTGCCACTGCACTGACTACATCAAACACCACTCAGATTGTCACACATTCTGTCAGCACTGAACTAAACAGTACAAGGACAAAAATGCCAACACTGTCACCAACGAAGCCATCCTTAAATGTTACAACATCAGCAACATCAAATGTCACTGGAGTTATTACATCTAATCACACTGGGATTGTTTCACCTCCCACCAGTATTGAGGCCAACACAACAGAAATATTGCCAACAAAGATGGCAACAGTACCACTCAATGTCACCAACCTAACAACAACAACTGCCACTGGAGTGACTACATCAAACACCACTCAGATTGTCACACATTCTGTCAGCACTGAGCTTAATAGTACAAGGACAGAAATGTCAACACTGACAGCAACGCAGCCATCCTTAAATGTTACAACATCGGCAACATCAAATGTCACTGGAATTATTACATCTAATCGCACTGGGATTGTTTCACCTCCCACCAGTATTAACGCCAACAGAACAAAAATATTGCCAACAACGACACCAACAGTACCACTCAATAATGTGACTAACCTAACAACAACTGCCACTGGACTTACTACATCAAACACCACTCAGATTGTCACACAGTCTGTCAGCACTGAGCTAAAAAGTCCAAGGACAGATATGTCAACACTGACAGCAAAACAGCCCTCCTTAAATGTTACAACATCGGCAACAACAAATGTCACTGGAATTATTACATCTAATCACACTGGGATTGTTTTACCTCCCACCAGTATTGATGCCAACAGAACAGAAATAATGGCAACAAAGACAACAACAGCACCACTCAATAATGTGACCAACCTAACAACAACAACAACTGCCACTGCACTGACTACATCAAACACCACTCAGATTGTCACACATTCTGCCAGCACTGAACTAAACAGTACAAGGAAAAAATTGCCAACACCGAAACCAACACAGCCAACCAAAAATGTTACAACATTGGCAATATCAAATGTCACTGGAATTATTACATCTAATCACACTGGGATTGTTTCACCTTCCACCAGTATTGATGCCAACAGAACAGAAATAATGGCAACACAGACACCAACAGCACCACTCAATAATGTGACCAACCTAACAACAACAACAACTGCCACTGCACTGACTACATCAAACACCACTCAGATTGTCACACATTCTGTCAGCACTGAGCTCAAAAGTACAGGGACAGAAATGTCAACACTGACACCAACACAGCCACCCTTAAAGGTTACAACATCCGCAACATCAAATGTCACTGGAATTATTACATCTAATCACACTGGGATTGTTTCACCTTCCACCAGTATTGATGCCAACAGAACAGAAATAATGGCAACACAGACACCAACAGCACCACTCAATAATGTCACCAACCTAACAACAACAATGGCCACTGGTCTGACTACACCAAACACCATTCAGATTCTCACACAGTCTGTCAGCACTGAGCTAAAAAGTACAAGGACAGAGATGTCAGCACCAACACCAACACAGCCACCCTTAAATGTTACAACATCAGCAACATCAAATGTCACTGGAGTTATTACATCTAATCGCACTGGGATTGTTTCACCTCCCATCAGTATTGAGGCCAACACAACAGAAATATTGCCAACAAAGATGGCAACAGTACCACTCAATGTCACCAACCAAACAACAACAACTGCCACTGGAGTGACTACATCAAACATCACTCAGAATGTCACACATTCTGTCAGCACTGAGCTTAATAGTACTAGGACAGAAATGTCAACACTGACAGCAACGCAGCCATCCTTAAATGTTACAACATCAGCAACATCAAATGTCACTGGAATTATTACATCTAATCGCACTGGGATTGTTTCACCTCCCACCAGTATTGATGCCAACAGAACAGAAATATTGGCAACAAAGACGGCAACAGTACCACTCAATAATGTCACCAACCTAACAACAACTGCCACTGGAGTGACTACATCAAACACCACTCAGAATGTCACACATTCTGTCAGCACTGAGCTCAAAAGTACAGGGACAGAAATGTCAACACTGACACCAACACAGCCACCCTTAAATGTTACAACATCCGCAACATCAAATGTCACTGGAATTATTACATCTAATCACACTGGGATTGTTTCACCTTCCACCAGTATTGATGCCAACAGAACAGAAATAATGGCAACACAGACACCAACAGCACCACTCAATAATGTCACCAACCTAACAACAACAATGGCCACTGGTCTGACTACACCAAACACCATTCAGATTCTCACACAGTCTGTCAGCACTGAGCTAAAAAGTACAAGGACAGAGATGTCAGCACCAACACCAACACAGCCACCCTTAAATGTTACAACATCAGCAACATCAAATGTCACTGGAGTTATTACATCTAATCGCACTGGGATTGTTTCACCTCCCATCAGTATTGAGGCCAACACAACAGAAATATTGCCAACAAAGATGGCAACAGTACCACTCAATGTCACCAACCAAACAACAACAACTGCCACTGGAGTGACTACATCAAACATCACTCAGAATGTCACACATTCTGTCAGCACTGAGCTTAATAGTACTAGGACAGAAATGTCAACACTGACAGCAACGCAGCCATCCTTAAATGTTACAACATCAGCAACATCAAATGTCACTGGAATTATTACATCTAATCGCACTGGGATTGTTTCACCTCCCACCAGTATTGATGCCAACAGAACAGAAATATTGGCAACAAAGACGGCAACAGTACCACTCAATAATGTCACCAACCTAACAACAACTGCCACTGGAGTGACTACATCAAACATCACTCAGAATGTCACACATTCTGTCAGCACTGAGCTTAATAGTACTAGGACAGAAATGTCAACACTGACAGCAACGCAGCCATCCTTAAATGTTACAACATCCGCAACATCAAATGTCACTGGAATTATTACATCTAATCACACTGGGATTGTTTCACCTTCCACCAGTATTGATGCCAACAGAACAGAAATAATGGCAACACAGACACCAACAGCACCACTCAATAATGTCACCAACCTAACAACAACAATGGCCACTGGTCTGACTACACCAAACACCACTCAGATTCTCACACAGTCTGTCAGCACTGAGCTAAAAAGTACAAGGACAGAGATGTCAGCACCAACACCTACACAGCCATCCTTAAATGTTACAACATCAGCAACATCAAATGTCACTGGAATTATTACATCTAATCACACTGGGATTGTTTCACCTTCCACCAGTATTGATGCCAACAGAACAGAAATAATGGCAACAAAGACAACAATAGCACCACTCAATAATGTGACCCACCTAACAACAACAACTGCCACGGGACTGACTACATCAAACACCACTCACATTGTCACACATTCTGTCAGCACTGAACTAAACGGTACAAGGACAAAATTGCCAATACTGACACCAACACAGCCACCCTTAAATGTTACAACATCAGCAACATCAAATGTCACTGGAGTTATTACATCTAATCGCACTGGGATTGTTTCACCTCCCATCAGTATTGAGGCCAACACAACAGAAATAGTGCCAACAAAGATGGCAACAGTACCACTCAATGTCACCAACCAAACAACAACAACTGCCACTGGAGTGACTACATCAAACATCACTCAGAATGTCACACATTCTGTCAGCACTGAGCTTAATAGTACTAGGACAGAAATGTCAACACTGACAGCAACGCAGCCATCCTTAAATGTTACAACATCGGCAACATCAAATGTCACTGGAATTATTACATCTAATCGCACTGGGATTGTTTCACCTCCCACCAGTATTGATGCCAACAGAACAGAAATATTGGCAACAAAGACGGCAACAGTACCACTCAATAATGTCACCAACCTAACAACAACAACTGCCACTGGAGTGACTACATCACCACTCAGAATGTACACATTCGTCAACGATAAATACAACAGAAATGTCAACCTGACACAACCACCACCTTAAATGTTACAACATCGCACATCAAATGTCACTGGATTATTATCTAATCAACTGGGATTTTTCACCTCACCAGTATTGCAACAGAACAGAAATATGCAACAAACACACAGCACCACTCAATATGTACCAACTAACAACAATGCCATGGCTAACACAAACCCACTCAGATTTCACACAGCTGTCAGCACTAGAAAAGTACAAGGACGAGTGTCACACCAACAACACAGCCACCTTAAATGTTACACACGCAACTCATGTCACGGAATTATTACATCAATCACACTGGGATGTTTCACCTCCACCATATTGAGCCAACAGAACGAAATATGCAACAAAAACAAGCACATCATAATGACCCCCTAACAACACAATGCCCGGATGATACATCAAACACACTCATGTCACATCTGTCGCACTGACTAAGACAAGGACAAAATGCAAACTACACAACCCCCTTAATGTTACAACATCGCAACATCAAATGTCATGGATTACATCTAATCCCTGGGTTGTTCACTCCATGTATTGAGGCACAAACAATGGAACAAAGAGCAACATACACTCAATGTCACCACAACAAACACTGCCATGGAGTGACTACATCAACACACTCAGTGTCACAATTCGTAGCATGAGCTTAATACGACAGAATAACTGACACAACCGCACTTAAATGTTACAACATCGCAACATCAAATTCACTGAATTATACATTAATCACCTGGATGTTCACCTCACATATAGCCAAAGAACAAATATGAACACGACACCAACAGCCACTATAATGTACACAACAACAACAATGCCATGCTACTACACCAAACATAGATTTCACACAGTCTTACACTGGCTAAAAGTCAAGGACAAGATGTCAACCAACAACACAGCCTCCTTAATGTAAACATCAAATCAAGTCACTGAATTATTACACTAATCCACTGGGATTGTTCACTCCACAGTATGAGCCAACAAACAGAAATAATGGCACAAGAACAAATCAATGACCCACTAACAACAACAACTGCACGGATGACTACATCAAACACACTCATGTCAACATCTGTCAGCTGATAAGTACAGGACAAAATGCAACTGACCAACACAGCCACCCTTAAATGTCAACACGAACATCAAAGTCCTGGATTTACATTAATCGCCTGGATTGTTCCCTCCCACTATTGGACAACAAAAATGCAACAAACAACAGCACTCAATGCACAACCTAACAACAACAATGCACTGGATGATACATCAACACACTCGATGTAACATTCTGTCAGCACTGAGTAAAGTAGGACAGAATGTCAACAGCACACACCACCTTAAATTACAACTCGCAACATCAATGTCGAATATACATTAATCCACTGGGATGTTCCTCCACAATTGATGCCAACAGACAGAATATGCAACAAAGACACAGACATCAATATTCACCAACCAACAACAACAATGCCATGATGCTACATCAAACACACTCAGATGTCACACATTCTGTCACACTGACTAAAGTAAGGGACAAATTACACTGCACCACAACCACCTTAAATGTTACAATCGCACATCAAATTCCTGGATATAATCAATCACTGGTTGTTTCCTTCCACCAGTATTGAGCAACAAAAAATACCAACAAGACAACGACACTCAATGGACCACCTAACAACAACAACTGCATGGATTCTCAAACCACCAAATTTCACATGTCAGCACTGACTAAGTACAAGGACAATGCAAATGCACAACGAGCCATCTTAATTACAACATCGGCAACATCAAATGTCACGAATTATACCTAATCAACTGGATTGTTACCCACCATATTAAGCAAGAACAAAATATGCCAACAAGACACACAGTAACTAATAAGACACTAACAACAACTGCATGGGACTACACCAACACACTCGATTGCACACGTCTGTGCATGCACGTCAAGGACAATTGCCAATGCACCAACAGCCCTAAAGACAACTCGAACACAAGTCACCCGATTATACTAATCAAATGTTGTTTCCCCACAGTATACAACAAACAATTACATTAATCCCCTAAATTGATATAATTTAATTCAATATAAGTAAAAATAAAAAAAAAAAAATTTAAAAAAATTTATTATATAATTTTTCACTCTTGAATCCACCGTATTAACGCCAACAGAACAGATATATTGCCAACAAAGACAGCAACAGTACCACTTAATAATGTCACCAACCTAACAACAACAACTGCCACTGGTCTGACTACACCAAACACCACTCAGATTGTCACACAGTCTGTCAGCACTGAGCTAAAAAGTACAAGGACAGAGATGTCAGCACCAACACCAACACAGCCACCCTTAAATGTTACAACATCAGCAACATCAAATGTCACTGGAATTACTTCACCTAATCACACTAGGATTGTTTCACCTCCCACTGGTATTGACACCAACAGAACAGAAATATTGGCAACAAAGACACCAACACCACCACTTAATAATGTCACCAACCTAACAACAACAACAACAGCCACTGGTCTGACTACACCAAACACCACTCAGATTGTCACACAGTCTGTCAGCACTGAGCTAAAAAGTACAAGGACAGAGATGTCAGCACCAACACCAACACAGCTACCCTTAAATGTTACAACATCAGCAACATCAAATGTCACTGGAATTACTACACCTAATCACACTAGGATTGTTTCACCTCCCACTGGTATTGACACCAACAGAACAGAAATATTGGCAACAAAGACACCAATACCACCACTCAATAATGTCACCAACCTAACAACAACAACAGCCACTGGACTGACTACATCAAACACCACTCAGATTGTCACACAGTCTGTCAGCACTGAGCTAAAAAGTACATGGACAGATATGTCAACACTGAAACCAACACAGCCACCGTTAAATGTTACTACATTAGTACCATCGACTGTCACTGAAGTTGGTTCACGCCCAATAACTACTGAGCTAAAAAGTAACAATACAGAAATGCAAACTATGACACTGACACCTGTATCTAAAAATGTAACCACGCCAGTACCATTTACTATCTCTGAATCAACTACATTAAACACCACTCAGCCTAATAAGACAAGAACAGAAATACCAATATTGACGTCAAAACCACCTACCCACAATGTTACCAACTCAACACCAGTAACTTCCACTGGACTGACTTCTGTTAACACATCTGAGGTGGTTCCACATCCCAACAGCACTGAGCCTAACAATGCAACTGCAGAAATACCCACAATGACATCAACACCACCATCACAAAATGTTAGTTACCCAGCACCAACCAATGCCACTGCAAGTACAACTCTTAACACCACAGAGGTTTTTTCCTCTCCATTATCTACTGAACTCAATATTACAAATACAGAAATGTCAGCAATGACACCAACATCACCGCCTCACAATTTCACATCATCAGGTCTATTAAATGTCACTGGAATGACTACATCTAACACCACTGAGAATGTTTCACATTCAGTTAGCAGTTATCTTAATACTACAGAAATTCCAACAAAGACATCAACACTACCATTCCAAAATGTTACCACACAAGCGCCATCAGCTGCCACCGGACCATCCACTTTTAACACCACAGTGGATGTTTCCCATCCTATAAGCACAGAGCTCAACACCACAGAAATAACACCTACACAGGTTCCCCACAACACTTCTGAGAACGTAACCACAAATAGTGTTTATACATCAAGAGCTCCAATGGAAACGCCAGCCTCAACAACAACTGCATCAACTATCAGCAGTTTTTATTCAGGTATGCTTCATAAACAAATTGCATTTGGGTTTGCTTTTTTTCTAAATTTAATTCCAAATTCTGTGTTTTCCAGAAGACAGCCTTATATTAATCCAGAAAAATATGACATGGACTGCAGCTTTGAGCTTCTGCAGGGAACACTACGTCGATCTTGTTCAGATTACCAGTGGAGAAATTCAAGACAAAGTGGCTAAGAAGTTGAAAAGCTCCACATCCCCTCACGTGTGGCTCGGCTTGCGTTACACTTGTAATTTCAAATTTTGGTTCTGGACCAGCTCAAATGCTGACTGTTATCAGAACTGGCAGCCAGAAGAAGGACCAGGAGGAGCTTATGAGTGTGGTTTGAGTGGTGCCATTCAGACCACTGGGGGGAAGCAATGGGTTGGTTTGCCAGAGACACAGGAACTGAATTTTATCTGCCAGACATGTGGTGGATGAGAGTGGGCTGCAAGTAACAGTTGTTTAACAGTTGAAATACTCAATGATGCTCATTCTGTTTTAACTGAGTATTTTCAGTTAACTTGAGTGAGGGTTATGAGATATAAATTGCCAAACTGGCTAATGTCTCTGAACCAAATGAGATACAGTGGTTGCAATTGTGCTGACATGTCCTAAGGTGAAATATAGCTGCCTCTGCTGCTGTTCAGGCACAATATTAGCTGCTTGAGAACATACTATATGCTGTATGGATGTGCGCACGCACAGAGAGCTTTGTCAGAAAATTGATTGGCTCTGAAAATTGGAATTTTGACCTCCTGGCTAAGCTGCCAAGAGTCTATGTTTGATAGCAATACAGCCTTAAATCCAACAGCATGGCCCTCAGGAGTGCTTCTAGAGAAAACCGAGCAAGTCCAATAGCTTTCTGTGTGGCAAAGAGTCACAGAGAGCGTGACACAGAGCTATGGTTACAGAAAATAATCTAGTTTTAGTACTTTTTTGGTCAGTGACCTTTATCACAGACCTATGCTTTCATTGGAGAATATATCTAACTTTGTTAATGTTCATAGATACATATTTTGTATTATGTGAATTATAGTTTTAATAACATCACAAACATTCTTGGGTTTCTTTTTTTTAGAATGCAAATGACAGATAATTAACATACCAGTAAAACCTGTCTTAAATTGAAGGCTGACATGTGCCGAAGAGGATCAAAGAGATAACACAAGGTGTGGTATGAAAGACTATGACGTTGCTCACTCTGTACTTGGTACTATTGGTACTATGAGCTATTATGACTTCTAAGCAATTTGAAATCCTGGTTAAGTGGTCACATAATGTTCCCTGCAAAACTATGCATGCCTCTTTGATTTACATTTTGTCACTTTGCAAGTAAATACATTTTGGAATTTTGTTGTAAAACAATGCAAACAATACTTTTAGAATATGAAAATTTTTTCTAAATATAAAAGTATAAAGTCTAAAAAGTTTGGTTTGCTTTTTTTCTCATACTTTTTCACTCTCATATTCTGGAGTAAAATCCCGTTCAAACAACTGGTTTCTGACATCTTCTGATATATAAAGTATAATTAATAAAAAGGGTAATCGTTGTGTAATTAGTTTTTTGGTAAACAATTCTCCTCCATGAAGATTTCAGAGCTTTGTTGAAGAACATTAGTGAACATACAGCATCTTTAAGACCAATGAACACAGAACATATGTTGGGGATAGCTAAAATTTAATGTAGGATCAATCCAAGGGTTGAACTTCTTACAGAGGACATTTAAATCTACTTTTCTGTTAAACTTGTTTGGTTGTTATAGATAAACTGTGAACCATCTGATCTTTATCTTTTTATTTAACTGCTGCCGTGACACTGCCAATAACAACATTCTGTATGCTGTTTTAAATTGTGTCACAGAGCAGAAACCTCATTCTTTTTATTTCATTTCTTCTACAGACTCACGTGACTGTCATTTAAAATAAATTTATTCTTAGCTTAGCTTTTAACAGTCCAGTTATACTTAAGCACATGTCCAGAAAAGAGCTACTATGAAGTACAATTCAGTTCAATTAAAAAACATAATTAATTCCCAAAGGGAAATTAAAATTTGTAATAAGTCATGATTTTTCATCTTGTTTTAGGATATTCTATAGCTGTTTCTCTTGTAGCAGATCAATAGAAGCCTTTGATTGATCACACTATGTTGTTGTTTAGCACTCATCTGAAAATTATGTGAACGGTTGTCATGTTCTTCATTTTATGATTAATTCTTGTTTGTCAAAAATCTCTCTAGTGGAGTTACTACAACCTTCATTATTATGCTGAGCTTATTTAAGTAATTTACTCTAAAGCTGTACCCAGCATATGGTGGATATAAGTTATACAGCATCTTGCTGCAAATACTGAGGAACTAAAGCTTCCTTTAAAAATACAGTCTGCTCTATCCTTTCTTGTAGACCAATGTTTCCCAACCTTGTTTAAACTGTGTACCCCTTTAGGCATTGTTTCTTTCCATGAGTACCCCGCCCTCTCAGTCAAAATTATTTATGATTGTGCAAAAGTTGAAAGTACAATAACTGATAAAATTTTTTAAATTAAGAATTCAGTTACTGGACCTACTATTCTTTCCATCTCAAATAAAAATAAAAAAACCTAAATATGTTTCCTGGAAGTTATTAAGGAATCAGAATAAATACAAATAAAAATAAAATCATATTATAAATCCATATTTACAAAACTGGAGCTCCTCTGAGTTCCCAATTATATGATTAATTGCTCCTCTGAGTTCCCAATTATATGACGAATTGGGAACAAAATATGGGAAAAAAAATATATATTCAGACTGGCTTTATTCATTTTATTTATTTTCTTATCAAGACAACGGAGCTGCTTTGATGAGCTCCTTTGTCTCATGTGTGAAAAACAGCTGATACCAGGCTGTTCTCTACTTCCAGTCTGTTCCTCTGCTTAGTTTAGTGTGTCACAGTGAAGGATGTACTAAAAGAAAACTTACCTTTTGGTTGATAAAATCTTGTTTCATTTTTCAATTGGGTCCTCATAAACAAATAATAATAAAAAAATTAAATCCCTATTTTATTTTACTACCTAAGAAATGCACTCATGGACCACCAGGAGTACAAATAACCCCTGTTGGGAATCACTGTTGTAGATGACTTAATAGTTGCAGCTCCAGGCGAAGTCCCTTGTTTTGTTCACATTAAGGATGGTTGTTTTCACACCATGCTATAAATTAGTTCAACAGCTCCCTGTACTAAGGTTTTTGTCCATATTCGATACACCCAATGACTGCAGTTATCTGAGTTTTTTGCAACTGACAAGAAGTGTACACAACATAAAAATGAATGGTTAGTTAATCTGTCCATTCAGACCGACTAACACAAAGTAAGTTAGTCTGGTAAAACTCAAGATTCTTCTGTCTGAAACAGAACAGACCAATTACAGAATGGGAGGCGAGCCCATTATATTTAGTGATGTTCTGTAACCATAACATTCAAGATTACATCTGCATGGAGTAACGTTTTAATAATTCCATTTATTATGTCTCAAAAAGAGCTGCGCATAAATTTCGACAACTGCTTACAAGTTATACACTTTCAATCTGACAGACTGTGGTCTGTTTATCATGTAGTCTAAGATCATGGTAAATGATGCATTTCCTCTCATTTTAGCGCAATTTTTGTTTTCATTGTTTTGTGTAAATCTATCTTTTGCACAAAGTCTCAGGAAGTCAATTTTAAATGAACTACTAGGAGCACTGCTTCCTCCACTAACCTTCATCCTTACTGCCAGAAATATTTGAATTTTATATCAGCTGCTGACACACTTTCACTTTGGCTTAAGTGTCCTTACCGAAATACTCTTATTTGGATAGAGCTCTTGACTGAATGGTGAGGAGGTAATTCAGCCAAACAGTAGGATGGTGTGCTGGACCAGGGACACATCTAAAATTTGTCGGACCTTTAGGAGATTGACACCCCTGCAGGTTGAGCACTAAAATCAAATCAAATCTAACTTGTAGTGTCCTTGAAAGGGTAATCTAGTTCGTTTCATTCATATTATATAAATGTTTTAATGATAATTATTTTATTAATCCTAAAGAGAAATGAAAATCTATTGTAACTCTTTGCAATTTCTTTGCATAGAAAACATAAATTGAATGAAACCACAAGCAGTTTCTTCAACAAATTTTTATATCAGACATCTGGCATCACCTAGTGTTCAAACTGACTTGTTTCAGCTTATATAAAATTATTTTATAAATTCATCTACAAGGATCATATTGCTCTATTATTATATCTTTAATCCAATTTATTTTGAAGTTTCAGACAATTTGAACTAGGATTGCAAACTTTCATTCATATAAATAAGGAATACGCAGGGGGTGGGGAGAAGTGGTATGTCACACATAAAACTTAAAATACTTAATTTCAAATAAACAATTTATAGGAAAACATTACAATTACATGTAAACAAGCCTGTTTGAGCTCCTGAACTAAAACTTTGTTGATCAACACTTTGTTTCAATCACTGAAATCAGGTGTTTTCTGTAATGTTTAGGAAACGTTCAGTAAGACTTCTGCACCTTTTGACAGGTATGTTGGCTCACTGTTCATCAGCAAGATACTTTTTTCTGGGACAGCTTGTGTTTAAGAATTATTTTACTAAACAAAAAATCTAAATAAATATTTTATTTTACTAAATTATTATTTTGTATTTTTATAATTACTCTTTCAACTTTTTTGTTATTTGAATTACTAGTGTGAATTAATCATTTTCTCTCATGGGAAGGTATATAAACCTTCAAACACAACTGTATCCGTTTTTCAACAGAGGAAATGAATAAAGTACCAAATGCACACAACTTAGTTATTGCAAAATTCAAAACTATAAAACTATGATCTGCTAACTAGCAGTAGCACTAGCACATGAACATGGTCTATTTGTGTGGCGTGTGCAATAAAAAATTGTTTTAAATACTAAATATTCAGTATATTTATTGTAGCTCTATGTGAGCTACGTTAAAAACAGAAATATAATCTGCATGCTCGATGACATCAATGTTTTTGTGACCAAGTCTTTTTTTTCTTTCAAGAAATTATGTCTGTAATATCTACGTTTTGACATAAAATATATAAAAGAATATGAAAGCATTTTAGATGCAGGAAATTTACAGACAAAAGCCCAAATTAACAATATTTGTCTTTTTAATATTATTTATTTACTGTTAGTCTGTTGGCATGATTTCATCTTTAAATGGCCATTTATATATTACTACATTAGCGTAAAGATTATTAACTACACATCCTAAAACGATCAGTTGAAACAAAGTAACCATAATGTTTCTCACCATATCATCCCCAGTAGGAGACTACGATTTTATCATCATGCTTGGGACCCTATATTCCTATGTATCTGCATTGTTTCTTTTTTGAGGAATAAACAACCCAATGTGCACCACTTTATAAAATCTTTAACAATTTTTAGATTGTGTTTCTGCTTCAGCAGGAGTGAAAGATTCAGGTCATAGCAGGACTTGGATGCACACTAAGGAAGGAGGTAACTTGGCCATTTGATTCACATTTGTGAAAATAAGGGCATATTTAAAAGGTGCATGACACCAGACCTTAAGTACAGAAATTGAAGATCCTTGCTATATGACATCATCAGCATTTTTTGGGTCTTGAGAGCTGGATGTCAAAATGGGCGGGATTCTGTTTTGAGTTTCGAACATGTTGTAGATGGTGATAGCGTTAAGTAGTAAAGATCCCTGTTTTCGTCTCTCATACAGCAGTTCTAAGGAAGCCTCTGATTCAGGTCAAATTGTTCTAGTGCAAGATTCTAATGAAGAGGATGGTCAGGACTGTCTGTAATTTTCCTTGTTTTATAAAAATTTCTTCTTTGTAAAATTAACTTCAGAGTTTCTGGATAAGTTCCCGGAAGACCTTTTTACAAGCCTTTTTACTCTGATCCTGCTATCCCTACAGATGATGGCAGAGGAAATCATATCCTTCACACCCGACTTGCTACAAATATGCAGCCTATTTTCCCATGTACAGAAGGACCTAAACTTTCTCAAGTGTAGTTTAATAATAAATAATTGAACTTTATTGATCTCACACTGGAGAAATTTACCTCTCCTTTAACCCATCACCTTGGGGAGCAGTGGCCTGCCATTGTGGGGTGCAACTAGGAGTTAAGGGTCTTGCTCAGAGAGACAGTGGGTTTCAAACTCACAATTTCAGGATTCTCTATGCCCTAACCACTAGAATGCTAGCTATATTGTAACCACAGCCGCCCTAGGGCTTACTGACAGAAGCAAGGCTGCCATACACAGGACCCTATTACCACCGTCAGCAGGCAATGCGGGTGAAGTGTCTTGCCCAAGGACACAACAGCACTGTTGGTTCAAACCGTAGCCGGGGTTTGAACCAACAACCCTCCAATTGCAGGGCGAACTTCTCCACCCAACACAACTGTTGCCCCAATCTATTTAGTTCAGTACTTTGATCCTCTTAAATCCCATAATCTTGTGAAGAGCATCACAGACAATACTCTGGTCATCATCATTTGTTTCCCATTTGCTAACAAGTAAGGCAAGGTGAGTTTATTTATATAGCACATTTAAGTAACGAGACACTGATGTAATTCATTCAAGTCAATTCAATTCAGTTTATTTATATAGCGCCAAATTCACAACACATGTCATCTCAAGGCACTTTACAGTTCAACCAGATCATACAGTCAAATTGATACAAAATTTTCTATCTAAGGAAAACCAGTTGATTGCATCGACTCATTGACCCAAATACAATCCCTCACACTAAGCATGCTTGTAGCGACAGTGGAGAGGAAAAACTCCCTTTTAACAGGAAGAAACCTCCAGCAGAACCAGGCTCAGTGTGAGCGGCCATCTGCCGAGGCCCACTGGGGTTCAAGGAGACAGAAGCAGAGACACAAAAAGCAGCTGTAAAAGGCGGCCCCATCCAGGAAACACACAGCCAGGCAGACGAGCTCCGAGCCTGCTCCCATTCCAGAGGACGAAGAGAACACATCCAGCCAGTCACGGTCAGAATGGTCTTGTAGAATGGTGTTAGAAGAACCACTTGTCTCTCAACACCAGTAAGACCAAAGACATGGTGATGAACTTCAGAATACCCCCACCTCACTCCCCTATGAACATCCAGGGGCAGGACATAGAAACTGTGGACAGTTTCAAATACCTGGGTGTTCACATCAATAATAAACTGGACTGGACTTATAAAACCGACACCCTGTACAAGAATAGCCAGAGTCGCCTCCACCTCCCGAGAAGGCAGAAGTCCTCTAGAGGGAGCAGGCCCATGCTTAAAACCTGCTTCAGCCCTCCTCTATGCTGTCGTCTGCTGGACCCCTGGCAGCGCAGAGCGGGACAGAAAGAGACTAAAGAAACTAGTTTGAAAGGCCACTTCTGTCCTCAGCTGCACTCTGGTCTCAGTGGAAGAAGTGGGTGAGAAGAGGATGCTGTCCAGGCTTACATCCATCAAGGACAGCACCTTCCACCCTCTGCACCAGACTGTAGAGGAGCTGAGCAGCTCCTTTTGTGAAAGGCTTTTACACCCTGTTTGTAAAAAACAAGC